CTTGTAAGATACAAACTCCAAAAACCAACCCTTGACGCCCTCAACGGTGAGGTAAACGAGAAGCCGAGTTCCGGAATCGGTGGTTGCGGTGGAGGGGGCTAAAATACAGCCATTTTCAATAGCTCAATCTCCACTCACGATTTCGTCGTTGAATATCCGCCGTCGCAGATCGTTGATATCCCCTGCGTCGACAGCGTGCAAAGCGTTCGGGTCCGGGATCGGGCCCAGCGTCAGCGTCGAGGTATCAGTATCCTGAAAACGGGTGTTGAGAGAGCGAGAGAGAGAGAGAGAGAGAGAGAGAGAGAGAGAGCTATACGGAAAACTCACATCGAGGCTAGGCATAAAGTTTTGGCGAGTAGCGCGCGTCGACTTCTCCGGCGTTTCCGACGGGGGCAGCGGGGCGGCCATGCGTCGTTTCTTGTACTCTTCCAGCGTCAGCCGACGGGCTTTCACTAAAATAAAGGCATAAGATCTGTTTTCTGGTATCCTACTATATATAAAAAAAATAGTGTTTGTGTGTGTGTGTGTGCATTTGCATGCAACTTCCGTCACCGTGTTCCAGTAGTATCTCAAGATGGGAAGTACTTAGGGTTATGTTCGGTACGTCATTAGATGCGTAAGGGTCTCGAGATGACTGCACACATATTAGATTTTAAAAAACATGTTGTTTTCGACATTAAAATGAAGTTTTTCATGGAAAATCGGACGCCGCACTTTGTTAGGATCAAATTAGCATGCACCGGAAGTCGCGCTAGCCTATATAAAGGGGTGGAGAGAGCATTTTTCATTTTTCGTCATCCGAAGCCGCGAAAATTATGCAAAGCCAAGAATATCATGGGGGCAGACGGGGCCAGGGTTGAAAAGTCGCGAAGCGGCTTTTCAACCCTGGTTTTAAGTTTTAAAAACAATCAGAGTCTTAAAAAAGAGCATCTAGTAGATAATAAAAAATTTAGAAAAATGAGGGATTTATTATTTAGAAAAAATATTTTAGATTTTTCTAACTATTTTCTAGGGGGATCTTCATTTTTTTCAGCGTTTTCAACTCGTTTAACGCATACCTTGCGTAACCGGCGGCCACTCCGGCCCGCTGGGCAGTTCGTAGGGTTGGATCGTCTTCGAGCAGCCCTCGCCCAACTTCTTCAGCAGCTCGCGCGGATTCTCAGACTTCTCGACGAATCGCGGGGGCGGCACCCGCGCGGTGGGCGTGGCCGGCTCGTGCTCCGAGTCGGTGCGGCGCTGCTTTTGCGGAGATTTGGAGTACTAAAAATCAAAAATAAAATTCAGAATCCATAATTTCATGAATTTAGAATTCCAAGAAAGATAAAAATACCCACCATTCTCGACGGTTGAGCCTGAGGCGAAGACGGTGCCGGGTCGGGCGGAGCCGGCTCCTCCTTCTCACGATCCGCCTGGGCCCTCCTGAGCAAGAAGCCCTTGCGGCCCTGCGAGAAGTCTTGGGGTGGTGAGGATACTCGAGCAGCGGCGGCCTCTTCCTCCTCCTTCATTTTCTGCTCCATCAGCCAGCGCTTGCGGGGCGGCACGGATGAGGGGATAGACCTAAAAAACGGATCGTACCAAAAAAATCAATTTCTACATACTTGTCATCGCCACTATCCTTGTCCCGCTTCGATTGCCCTTTGCCGCCACGGGTCGATCGCTCGGCCGGGGTTGCTGGCTGCTGGGCATGGCGATCGGATGCACGGCGCTTCCTTGGCTCCGGCTTGTCGGGAGACCCGGATTTCCGGCCACCCTCGGCTTCTTCGAGCTTCTTGAACATGGCCAGCTCGTGCTGCAGCTTGCGCTCTTCGCGGCTCTGGAAAAATGATGATTAATTGAAGCTACAGAAAAGGGTTCTTAAGATAGGAAAAATAACAATTACAGATAATTAATTGTAACTTAAAATTACATTAATTAACTTGCTTTAAATATAATTTTTTTAATAGGAAAAATGAAGAATTATATCAAATCAAGTTGAGAAAAAATTACCGGTCGGTTGGCAGACGATCGGGCCGAGGTGTCGGGCTTCTGTCGTCCGGAGGTGCGCTTGCCAGTGGAGGCCGGGCTGGGCTTTTCCGGTGATTTTGTGCTCTGAAAAATAATCAATAATAGTTTTCTTATTCATAATTTTAATTTCATTTAAATAGATAAAACTCTTCAAAACTCACCTTAGCACCACGTCCCCTTCGTCCTGGCGTCTTCTGCTCCTCGGTCTCGCCCTCAGGCTCCTCCTCCTTGTCCGAATCCTCGACCTCGCCCTCCTCTTTCTCGCTGGGCGTCTCTTCCTTCTTTGCCCGTCCTCCTCGGCCACGTCCGCGCTTTGGCGACACGTCCTTCTTCGGGGAGGCCTCCTTCTTGGGGGATGGTTCCTTCTTGGGTGATTTCTCGACCTTCTTCGGGGACTTTGGCTCCTCCTTGGGGGTCGGGGTCTCCTTGAGCGAACGGCGGCCACGCTTGTTGGGTGGTTGGGCCTCGGTGTCAGAAGCGCCCGACTCGGCACCACTAAAAACGGGGTATTTTAAAGGTCTGTCGAATTTATAATAACTCTAGTTTCTAGATATTCACAAAAAAAAAATTAAAATTTACCTCTCGCCCTCCTTGGCGCCCTCGCTGCGTCGCTGGGCCCTGGCGGCCCTTCCGGCAGGTTTCGGCTTGTCCTCGGCGCCCTCAGCCACATCAGCCACGGCCTCGTCCTCCTCAGCGGTGCTCTCCTGAGCCTTGTTATCCTTGTCGACGCGACGCAGCTTGATCATCGGCGCACCGCGGGGCGGCCGGCCGGGCGCCTTCTTCTCGGTGCTCTTCGGCTTGGCCTTGGCGGCCGAGGCCGGCGTCTTCTTGGCGGGCGGGGCGGCGCTGGACTTGCGCTTTGGAGGTGATGGTGGCGGTGATGGACAGAGGTTGTGGTTGAAGCCGACGATCGGGCACGCCGCCGGGTCGGTGCAGGTGCATTCCAACGGGCGCGGGCAGTTCAGGTAGTCCGAGTCGAATGGTATCGTGATCTAGAAAAGAGGAAAAATAATTTTTCCTCTTTTTTTTAATGTCATTTTTCTAAAAAAAATAAAAAATAATAATTTTTATAATAGCTTTTGCGTAAAATATTTTTGCCAAATCAGATTTTAGAAAAATCAGAATGTCGAAAGTGTACAAGGTGCGTCAAAAAAAAGAATGAAGTTTGCACTGAAATATCTCGCGAACGGAAACGAATCAAACCATCGTTACCTTGCCAGAATGCTTGAATATGCTGGGCATGAAGAAATAACACAAGTTGTTTTTTAAGATTTTTGACGACCAGTGGGTCGTTAAAAAGTTTTGAACATTTTTGAAAAAGTAAAAAACTTTGAAGACGAAAATAATGGAACTTTTAATGAGTTAGGGGGACATGTAGGGTATCAAAATGAAGCTCTCGGAATGCGCTATCAAACGCATCGTAAATATTATTGATCGATTTAATTAGCCGTCAATAGGAGCCTTCGGAAAATCCGGAATTTCCGAGAAAGGGTGATTCCGAGTTGACCATAGAAAGCTCATTGCCCTCATAACTTTTTGTATTTATTAAATGTAATGCTGTTTGCCAAAGCTAATCATGTTACAATTTTAACTATATCAACGTAAAACTTGCAGTTTTGGCCGACTTGGCAAGATGCCAAAAAATTTTTTGATCGGGATTCTCAAAATCTTGATGCCAAAAGTTAGAAGTTATCTCTTTATTGCTAACTGCAAAATATCAGAAAGATCGGATGGTAAGGAAATTTTATCTGGAATTTTTTCTTCAAAAAGTCCGGATTTTCCGAAGGCTCCGATTGACGGCTAGTTAAATCGATCAATAATATTTACGATGCGTTTGATAGCGCATTCCGAGAGCTTCATTTTGATACCCTACATGTCCCCCTAACTCATTAAAAGTTCCATTATTTTCGTCTTCAAAGTTTTTTACTTTTTCAAAAATGTTCAAAACTTTTTAACGACCACTGGTCGTCAAAAATCTTAAAAAACAACTTGTGTTATTTCTTCATGCTCAGCATATTTAATCATTCTGGCAAGGTAACGATGGTTTGATTCGTTTCCGTTCGCGAGATATTTCAGTGCAAACTTCATTCTTTATTTTTTGACGCACCCTGTATATGAAAACCGAATTACTCAATTTCTTCCTCTTGTTTTTTTTTTCCAAAATCCCTCACCTCCGTTCCCTGCTCGATTTCCTCGGTGGCGTTGAGGAGGACATGGAGGTTGCCGTTGAGTATGACGTGTTTCAGCACCGTGTTCGGCTTGCATGAGCGGCGGACAAAGCGCGAGTCACCGCCCTTTCGCCGGCCGTCGATGACGAGCGGCGCGTCAAGCGAGGCCCCAGAGTACAGTACGCAATGGGGTTGCACCTAAAAATTTTTTTGTATAATTTTTGTTTTGTAAAAACAATTTTTAATTCCACGCGATCGGCATAAAAAATTTGGCAAAAAAAGGGCCACTCACCGATCCGACTTTTTCCCTGCCCGGGCACTCGCTGGGGAACGAGACGTGGCCGAGGTATTCGATGACGAGGTCATTTTTCGGAATCGTCGCTACGGCCACTAGGCCCTCGACGTCAGGAGAGACGACCATTCGCGAGTACTACAAAACCAGAATTTCCACCGTAAATTTAGCCTTAACAAAAATCAATTTAAAAACGTTTAAAATGACAGCAGTATCGCAAAGTCCATAAAGATAAATTTACCTTCGGCTTGTTTTTGCGGATATTCTCCACAACGAAATCGGCGCCGTGTGTTGTTTGGAAGGCCGAGAGCAGCTCCTTGGCACGAGGGGCTGTAAAAAAACTTATTCAATAATTAAAAAAAGGTTTTTAATTTTGCTAAAATAGCTTTAAAAGGGTTTTCAATCTCTCAAGCTTAATTCCTCTTTTTAAAACATTCCAAAAGCTAATTAACGATTTCAACCACTTTCAAATTTCAAAAAAAGCTAAATTTTGTATAATTTTAAAAATTTTAATTCTTCGTAAAACTGAAAAATTACTTACAATATTCATTCGTCTTGATCTCGGTGAACTTCTTGTACTGGGCGGTGCTGATGGGGCGCATCTGCTCAGTGCGCCGCCTCTTCTTGGCCTTCAGGGCACGGGCCTCCTCGCGGGCCTTCCGCTTCTCCGCCCGGCGTTTCTCACGACGGTCCTTCTTCCGCTGCTTCTCCTTCGTCAGCTCGGCGAGCTTCTTCTGCTGGTAGTCTTTGGCCTAAAATAATAAATACTATTTTCAACACAAAATCGACGTATTTTCACTGATCAAAATTCAATCCGCCGCTGTCTAAAATTAAATTCTCGATTTTTTCGACAAAAAAAAATTTAACGATGAATTTTGAAAACTTCCAAATACCGTAGTCAATTAAAATATAAATAAATTAAGAAATATTAATCTTGAATTAACAATTCCCCCACCTGTCCCTTGGTGAGCTTCATCTTGCGCGGGTTGCACTGCTCGCACAGGTAGTTCTTCGGGGGCTTGGCGGTGGGGATGCCGACACATTTCATGTGCTGCCACACGTCGCACTTGTCGCACGAGATCATGTACTCGTCGTTGTGGCTCATCTCGCACCAACATCTGCAACGAGGAGTTTTAGGTAGATGATCACAACCCCTACCTAGTTGTGTAGTCTCCCCAGTCTTCCTCAGCGGTGGTGGCACTCACTTCAGAGTCGGCATCGGATTCCTCTTCCGGAGCTGGAAAACGGAAGATAGAATAGCTAATTCAAAAATTAGAGGTTTTTACAAAAGATTAATTAGTTCCTACAAAAAATACCTAAATACAAAAATTTCATAACGAAAACACAGCATTTTGTGCTAAAAAGACAAATAAATCTTTTTTTTAATAATATGCACGTTCTTCGTGGCTTCACCCATCCCAATTATAATTTATGTCATTTTTATGCGTTCAAACTGATAAAATTTCTTCAAAAATGCTTTTTTCAAACTATTTCTTTGAAATAAAGCTAAAATCCTAAAAGTACTATAAAAATTAAGAAATTTAAACTCACAAGGCTCTCTAACTGGCAGCGAAATTTCCGGCTGCTGTTCATAGCCATTCGAATAGGCGGCAGTTGGCAGGAAATCCTTGCGAGGTGGCGACTCGATGAGTGGGTGAGAAGCTAAAAAGCCAAGTAAAAATCTCTAAGGCTAAAAAGTGTCTTTTCAAAAAAGGGCTTTTGGTTCGCAAAAAGAGATCAATTCTCGTGGCAACAAAAAGTGCTAAATTCCTTTAAAACTCTGAAAAATTCCACAAAATGGGGAACAACAAAAAGCTGCTGGCTAATTAAAATATTAATAAACTTGGGGCTGCTTTAGATGACAGGTCAAGTCCACAGATTAATTTCAAGAAAATGGATCATAATACAGAAATTTATTTATAAGCCGAAACGGCTAAAAACGAGTCTGTCCCTTTTAACAAGGTGCCAGCAACTTTTGGTTGATCCCACATTTTGTGGAATTTTTCAGAGTTTTAAAGGAATTTAGCACTTTTTGTTGCCACGAGAATTGATCTCTTTTTGCGAAAACCAAAAGCCCTTTTTTGAAAAGACACTTTTTAGCCTTAGAGAGAATTTAGCCCTTTTTGCCTCAATTTTGTTGTTAAGATCATAGAATAAGGGATGGGATATTTATTCAGATGAACCCTTGTACGCAATACTTCAAAAAAATTTGCCTGCGGCGCTTTGTAACGGTACTAAAAGCCTTAACGATGCATTCGGGCCAATCGGCAAAAATGATGTTGCGGGCGGGGTTCGAACCCGCGAGCCAAGTCTTCCCAGAACAGCGTGCTAACCACTAGGCCAACCGGGAGACTGGAGGCCTGTCATCGGGGACCCAGACCCGCCCTGCTGACCAGGGAAAGGGGGCCGGGAAAGGGAGGGTGGCGCCCCGTATGGCGAAGGTTTAAAGTTATAATATCTCAGCGAAGAAGCATTCTTTCGATGCAATTTCTTCTTTACTTTTTCCGGCATGGTCTAATGCATATTTGAGCAAAATTTCAGCCCAAACGGACATCACTAACACTTGTTTTGGCCGCAATTTAGCTTTTAAACTTAAAAATTAAATATAACTTTTTTAAAAGCCTATTTTGAAAAAAACGCTTCTTCCTCACCTTCATTTACACCAAGTCGATATATGTGGAAAATTTCAGCCCAAACGGACCATGGGAAGGCACTTTTTGACGACTACAAAGGTTTTGCGTACATACATACATACAAACAAACGCAGACCCCCCCCCTCGAAACGCAATTTAAATCGGCTGTTAAAATTCGAAATTTAACTCTTTTTCAGTTTTTAAAAGCTTATACTATGCAAAAAATGTCGCCGGTTCCGATGGCGTATTCAGTTTGGCGATCCGATGCATGGTTCTTTTTTAAATCCGGAAAAGGACCCCAAAAGAGTCGTATGGGGGGGTACCTCAAACCAAAAGGGGTTAGGCGGGCTACGCCCGCTACCCCCGATGATACGCTCCTAAAAACTCACCAATCTCTGGTGGAAGCACGGGGACCTGCGGAGGCTTCAATGGGGCCAACTGCTCGATTTCGTCGCCCTGAATAAAAAAGTTTAAATAAAATAGCAAGGATGAAAGTCTTGCTAAAATCCATCCAAGAAATTGACCATCATCATCTTGATCGGGCTCCTACTGCCCACCTTCACCGGGCTCATCCGCTTCGGGCTCACCGAGGTGGCCACCATTCCGGGGGTGTTCGGCGGCATTGTTCCCTGAAAACGGGATTATAGATCGAAATGGATTAACGTTTTCACCACTTAAAACAAACAGGTTTTCAATAGAATATTATTAAAAAAATAACGCTCGATAAATAAAATTTTCAAATTCTAATTCAAAACTAATTTCAAAACAGTACTTAAATGAAACGTTTTAAATATAAAAAAAAATAGCTAAATAAGCGAGTAAAAATCTTCTAAGTTTTGGTGTGCAGCTTCCGGCACGCTTATTTATCTTATCAAAGAGACACATCTGACTCAATGCAGCCGCCATTAGTGCGCCAAAGTCCACTTGACACCACAAGCTACCTGAGAAGACAGACGCGTCCTGTTCGTGGATCCCCTCGGTCTGCCGCGCGGCCTGGGCTCCGGCACAGTTTCCATCGGGACATCCGGGAAAGTTCCCTTCAGCTTGATCGTCTCGGTGAAGGGCAGCGTGCGGAAGCAAATCTCGCCTTGGTTCTAAAAGCCAAGATAAAGTTTTTAATGAATAATCGTACCATTTTGTCCATATAGTTGCCGGCGAGCGGCTCGCGGTGCTGCATGGCGGCCAGCATGTGAGCACGAGGCTCACGGTCCTCCATCTGCTGCTGGATGCGATCAAGGTGGTGCTGAACCTCGGCATCGGTGTCTTGGAAGTTGGACAGGTCGTCGTGGCGGAACGAGATGGATTCTGGAAAAACGTAAGTTAAAAAAGTCGAAAAATCGGTTAATTTGATAAATTAATAGTTTGAATCTCATATTTTCAAACGTTATTAATCGAAATCATCACCGCAAAAATCATTGTTTGGAAAAGGGATAATTAATAACCTTACTTTCATTCATAAATTCATAATTTGCAAAGAGCCCAAAATACCAAAATATATCAAAATAAATTCTTTTTCCGGTAACAAATTTACGAATTATTATCGACGCCATGCGGGCCAGAGCGCCAAAAATGCGCACAATTTCCAAAGTAATGAATTTTCGACGTTTTGGCAGGGATTCGAACCTTGAATTTGAAAGTCTCTAACTCACCAGATCCAGCCGATCCGGGCAACGGTGGCGGGCCGACGACGAGGTTCACGCCTGGCGTGGCCGAGGTCGAGCTGCCCGAGCCGTCGAGGAAGTTCACCTTCCTGGGCGAGATTCGGGACAAGTCTTCGTAGGAATCATCCGGGTCGCCGTCCTTTCTCCGAACTGTGCCGGCTAGACGATAATAGGAAAATCGCGCGGGCACTTACATCTTCCTCGGATGACCGGCTTCGCGCCGCGGGCAGCAACAAGGAGTGGAGCAGCGCGTGGAGTGGCTGACATCATTTCTTCTTGCGGCGGTTGCTGGTATTGTGGGGTGATGGTGGTCGGGGCTTTTCCCTAGGATTTAAAAAATACTACGGTATTCTCGAGTGCCATTTTGCATTAAATTTTTGAAAAATTCCAGAAAATTTTTGTAAAACTTTCTAAAGCTTACCGTAAGTAGAGCACGATGCGGGGGTTCGGCCTGTTGCATCGGCGGCATCACGCGAGTCATCGTTCTAAAAAGAAAAGCATATTTAATCGATTTAATCCATAGTCCTTTTCAAAGCTATAAAACCCATAATTAATCCAATTCTGTAAACTTAGAAAAATCTATAATATATTGTTTTTCTCTCTCTAAACTCTCGACGAAATATTTAAATCGGATATCGTAAGACTACGAATAAAAATTTTGCTCATCTACGCACTTATGAGGCGTAATCTGCGACGGGCGCTGCGTCAACACGGGTTTCCGAAGTGTGGCTCCTCCAGGGGGATTGTTGACGGGCTGTACGGTGCGTCTGTAGCTGCCCTGCGCGCCGCCACCATAATACGTGTTGCTCATCGTGTACGAGGGAGAGGCGTAGGTATCTAAAAAACTTAATATACCCTGAAAAAGGCGGTATTTTCACCATTCCGGTGTGCGACGAGAGCGGCCCGTTGACCGGGATACTGATAATTTTGGCCGCCGATGACGAGCTTCTTCGAGTGGTCGCCGGCTGAGCGGTAGGTGGTGCCGCCGATTTGCGTGACACCGGAACGGGGTCTAAATATATTTTTCTACGGGTTTTTCGATACATAAATCATGAAAGTTTATCAGTTTTGAGGAAATTTCGCAATAAAATTGATAAATACTCCAAAATTAGGTTTTAAAAATTCGTATATAAAGCTTACGCTGAATACATCGCTCCGCCCTCCTGATAAAATCGATCGGCCGCCGAGCCGCGCCCAACAACCACCTCGGTTTCGAGGTTTTCGGAGAATTCGAGCGGCGGGATCTCTGGGAATTCTTGCGAGTCACGAACGGAACGCTGCGCCGGATCGGCCGAGTCGTAGTCATGGTCCTAAAGCAAAAAAGCATTTTTATGGTTTTTTTCTAAACAAAAATCGAGTGGCTTAAAATTAAAAACAAATTTTGCACGGTAGATCGTGCGAAAAATCGCTAATTCCTTTCGAAAAATTTGCCACATATTCTTAAAATGACGAAACAATTGCCTCGGGCTTGAAAGTCTGGATTTCACCCGTTTAGCAAGTTGTAATGATCCAATTTTCGGTTTCACGAAAAAAATTAGGCATGTTGAATTTTGAAGAAAACAAAAATTCCGCGCGGCTAAGTTGACGCTTTTCTCGCGTTTCCGGCGTCTTCCCATTTCTCCCACTTCACATTAATATTCACAAGGATGGCAATGACCTCCTTGAACCGCTACCTTTTATCATTTTCAAGACAATTCTACAATCACCTTTCTAAAAAAAACGAACGGCCAAAATTAACGATTTTTCTCTCGTTTCCAGCTCCTTCCCATTAATATTCACAAGGATGTAGCCAGTCTCCCTCGGGTCCCCGTTTCAGTCTTTTACGGCATCAAATGCTGGGAGTGAGTGGGGGAGAAGGGCTTGGGGCCGGGCAGCGAGCGGGTGCTGGGAGAGGCCAGGGTTGCAGAGACGCAGACACATCACTGCTCCAGCTTCACTCGCCCAAATATTGGATACCCGGGGCCCATGCAGTGAAAAGAAGCCGAAAGAGAACACCTCAACACAACACGCTAGCCCTCCCTGGTTGGACCCCCACCAACAAAGGATGACTGGCACGACGGTGGGCTGGATTATTCTGAGGCTACGATATCGAAACGATCGATAAGTGACGTCATTAAATGGGATTTAGGCGGTTTTATAAGTATCATTGCTTAAAAAAAACGTAGAATTTCGCACGGGATACCTAATTATAACGTATTTATCATTTCCACTAATCTTAGATATAATTGACGTATACAGATCGATCGATTAGCCACTTTTTTGATAAAAATTTAGGGCCACTCAAAAGTATCGCTTTCTGTGTAAAATCATACAAATTTTTCAGATTTAACTCCTTTAAAATTAACCATTATCGCCCCGTTTTCAACAAATTTTATCTTATCGAGGTAGGTCGATAAGTGTCTTTTATGATATAAGATTCCGGTGGGCTTTAAAGGCATGTTTTTCTTTAGAAAAAGCGTAGAATCTCGCCGCATTTAACGTTTTCACCTAGTTTTAGTCTCGAATATATATTTTCGAAAAATTTACCGCTAAAGCCAGCGGTGCCTCCTCGAGAACCTCATTCTGGGCAACGTGCTGCGGGACCATGTCAACGGCCACCATCGGCACGGACACTGAAGGCACCTCGAGTCCGGCTGGTTCTTGGGGATGGGCTGAAAATAAATAGTTAAAAAACACTTTTTTCAATCTAAATTTTCAAAAATATCTATAAAATCGAAGAAAGCTTCAAAAAACCGACCATAATCACCGGCCAGGTGGCCGTGAAGTTGGGGGGGTGGCTGGGCGTAGGTGTGCTGCTCGGCCGGGTCGGCGCCCTGCATGGGTGGATCGAGATCGGACATTGTTTAATGTCAATCAATCAATGCAGCATATGGTACCTGGAACGGAAAAAAATGTATAAAAATGATTCCTTTACATTGAAGCGATAGAGAGGGACAAAATAAAGATAGAATAGAGGAATCGTGCGTTTTACTTGGCTAAAAATCAGCACAAACTTTTTCGAATTCAGTTTTTCACTAAAAAAACAGAAAATATCAAAAATTTAGGAGCAAGTAAAATCGATAATCACGAGAAGAAAGAGTAGAACAGTTTTCGAGAAACAAGCCGGATTTCCAGAGTCCCTGAAATATTTCAATGTCATAAGACCGGCAAGTGATCGATTTTCTGCAAGACAAAACCGGTTTCCAGGACTAAAACTATTCTAATAGTAGCATTAATGATAGCCAAGCATATAAAGCCCTGAAAACCACACGAAACCACCGATACGTCTTCTAAAGCTTGACCAAGCGGTACGGTGGAACCGTCGTTCGTAGGTGTTCGGGTTGCCGTCCAGGCACACGCGACGCCCCCGGGTGGCGACGCGGCACGCCGCTGGAACGAAGCCAAGGACGCAAAGGGATGGGAGCGCCATCGAGGTGTGACAGACACACATAGGCAGGGGGAGAGCGTGCAGACAAACAAACAGATGGGCCGGGGCGCCAAATAGTCGTGAGGCTTATCAAAACAGGCCCTGATCGTCCGCATAAAGTTGCAGGTAGACTCTAGTCGCCCGAAAAAGCCTATTAAATTCCGCTTCACCCCTCATCTTTCGAAAACCAACTTATTGAAGGTTATTAATAAGATTTTTAACGATAGAAGTAAAGAAGATATAGTTAAAAAATAGAATCTCATTCTTTTGTTTTTGAATTTTTCTAAAATTCGTTATATTAGAGAAAAACGCTTTAGAAAAATTACGCAATGTTACGTTCCGCTTACCCAAATTTACGTTCTGGCGACAATTGGAGCCTTCGGAACCGATTTCGTTTGCTCCAAATGACGCTTTTTGTCGTTAGATGTAACTCGTAGCGTCCGGAATTTTTAATTTTGCCATTTTTACTTTCTTTTACTCAATTTTTAGCGCGATTCGTTATTTTTAATCGAATTCTTGCGTTTTTCTGTATCTGGAACTTTCATGATTTCGAGCTGCCGATTTTGCTGATGATTTTTTACTTTTTTTTTTTGTGATTTCCCGTACAGTCCCGAAGTTTGCAACCCTCATAATCATCCGATAGCCTAGGGCCCACCTACCCAAACAATGGGCGATGAGAACTGCTCGGCTGGCGGAGGCGGAGGGGCCATCACCATCGACGGCAACGATTTGACCTTCGCAGCTGTCGCCCCCGGTGCGTACCCCCGCCTTTATAATTACGCAGCCGTTGACAGAGCCCCGGCCACGCGCCCGCCTTGTTGCATTGGGTGGCGCGGGAGGCGAGGGGTAAAAGATGGGATCTTGCCGTCTAGGCGGAATTGAGTTTGCGGTTGTCTGGAAAGACTTTCGCGCGAGGAGATCTTTGAGTAAAAAGGGTTAATTTCAGCCCTGGAAAAGCTTGATGGCCAGATTGCGGCGACGAGGGACAGCCAGAAGTTGTTGAATCAAAATGTGGAAGTGCTCTCTGAGGTGGGTAAATCATGCCAAATAGCGGAATTGCTTCTATGCTGTTTTTACTATTGCTAAACGTAAAAAAATTTACAAATTTTTCTGAAGGATGCAAAAAATTTTTAATTTTCCGACCAAAAATGACCGCCTTTTGCGCAAATTTCGAGTTTTTGAAAAATTTTCAAAATTTTTAGATAGTTTTTAAGGCATTTCTAGATTAACACAGAAAAATAGGTTTTCCTACCCCCGATAATGCCAAAGAGCCTAGAAACCTAAAATTTTTAGTTTCTCCACGAGCTGAACAGCAGCGACGAGCCCTACGATCTCATCTCCTACGAGCTGAAGCTGATGGATTGTAAGAAGAGGATAGTGACGACAGGTAGGCTAGAAGAAAGTTAATTTTCAGATACCTCGAAAATCATAAAACGAAACGTTTTAGGCACTCAGCTTGGCAATATCCACGATCGCCTCAGCAAGCTTCAGCGCCAGATCGCCCGCGAGGTCTACAAGAAGAAGCAGCTCGTCAAGACCCAGCCTGCCCCTTCCGCTCCGGGGCTGTAGATTCAAAAATTTAGGTTCCGAGCATAATTCCCGTGATTTCACTTGCCAAATAGAGTTGTGATGAGTTTCCCCTGTGCCTTACCCTTCTCACGCTGTGCCTGATACTTATTTCCAAGTGCTTTAATGAATAAATTATACGAATTTTGAGACCGAAAAACCTTTAAAAAATAGTTGATGACTACAATAATTACAAAGAGGACATTTTATCAGGTTATAAAGGCTAGTTTTAGAAAGAAAAATGGCGCAACCAGTCGATTTGTCGGCAGAATCGAAGCAGACGCTGCGCTTGAAGATGAAAGATGTAAGTGAAAAGGAAGAACAATCACGTTGTAACAACTTGAAAAAGCTAGCAAGATGAATTATGAGATTTTCAGGTAGTATTAGACATCGATAAGCTCTGCGGCTTGGCAATTGGAGAAAGAGAGGCCCTGTCATCGCTTCAACAAGCCATTCTCGGCCATGTTGCCGCAGAAAAGGGCATGGAAAAGACGGAAGGCGGCCTGGGAAAAGCGGACGACATTTTGAATCAGGTAGGTATGAATGAACAATATATTATTTTCACCTTTAAAAGTATGAAAAATTAAGAAAAAACCATCGTAGAAAACCTTTTAGATGATGAATTCCCTCGATGAAGTCGAAGAAGAGCTTCATATCATCGACGAAATGCGCAGCACTTTCAATATTATTCAGGCTACCGGCGGGCATCCATAAACGATTAAAAAATACTTTTAATTATTTGATTTTCGAGCCTCAACAGCTGTCCCGACGTGGTCTGTGATCCCTGATGTCACTGTCTGTCATTTGGTCGTTCTTTGGAGTCGCGGGCAGTCCAAAAATTAATGGGCAACCATGACGGGCGGGTTTCTAGCCCTCGGACGTAACGAGTCACGAACGCGCGTCACACCACTTTACACCGCGTAATTGATTTCACAAACCCAGTTATTTGCGACAAATAATCTTGTAAAGGCTATTCTAACGCTAGAAACAAAAGAAATATAGTTGTAAAACAGATTTGGACGTGAAAGGGGGCATAACTATGCCTGTTTCGAGCAGATTGACAGTTTCGCTGGTGCTTTGCACAGCAGTACGAATAAGAAAGCCTGTTCTAACACGAAGAAGCTTCTTCTATAGGCACCAACACGTCGTTCTCCATTTTCGCGAGCAATTATCATTTGCAAGCATTGTACACACAATGTTCGCATCTTTTCTGAATTACCCAAATCACACATTATAACTGAGAGCCGTAGGCTAAGATGGCCCGAACTTGAAGGAGCAATGGTAGCGGTAAAAAGCAAAACCAAGCAAGCGCTTTACAATGCCCATATCATCACCAGCGTTTCACGCATGCTCGAACGCTACATCATTAGGTTTCATCCTCAATGTTTAAATTATCTCGGCGAAGCTCGGCTGGTTTTGTAGAAATTCAATCAACAAAGTGCCTGGCCTTGCGTAACACTTATTTATAACGGCAGTGATAAAGTGAACTCGTGATTGAAGCATTATTGTTATAGGGATTACTTACATTACTAGTTAGTCGTGCGTGATGAACCAGCAAAACTGTCAATCTTCTCGAAACAGGCAGAGTTATGCCCCTTTCCCGTCCAAATCTGTTTTACAACTATATTTCTTTTGTTTCTAGCGTTAGAATAGCCTTTACAAGATTATTTGTCGCAAATAACTGGGTTTGTGAAATCAATTACGCGGTGTAAAGTGGTGTGACACGTTCGTGACTCGTTACGTCCGAGGGCTAGAAACGCGCCCGTGCAACCATGCCAAATAGTCTCCCCTCCCGCCCCTCTTCACTTTCTTCCCTATCTTCTTGTCCTCAATTCCGATTTCTAGTGAACAAAAACCCCCAAAATTATCTAAATCTACCAAATTTTCTGTGATTTCAACCGGTTTTCTGGTTCTACGTGATTCGCCGATCTCTTTCATTACTTTTATGTATCATACCTCGGGTGAAAAGCATAAATTTTGAAATTCCAGATATGCTCTCGCGTCTTGTCGCTTCGAATGTAGCGAGAATCGCCTCGGCCCGGTATGAATCGATTTTAAAAGTTTATTTTCCTTTTTTTTCTAGCTCTATGGCCGCCTACCCGATCCCGGACGCGGTGTTTGGTTTGACCGAGGAAGAGCAGGCGGTATTATACACTTTTAAGACGAATTATCTTTCTTTCCAGCTCCGCCAATCGATTCGAACAATCGCCGACAAGGAGTTGGCCCCGTACGCGAATGATATTGATCGGTAGGGTTTGAAAACGTAAAATAAATTGGTTTTTAGTGACAACAACTGGAAAGACTTGCGGAAATTCTGGAGGACACTCGGTGACAATGGATTGTTGGGAATTACTGCACCAGGTTGGTAGTTTGCTTTTAAAATCAAGGGGATCTTTTGAAGCCAAATTTTGATAGAATTTCACAAACTTTCGATATAGATTCGTGATTATATTTTATACTTTATCCATATTCTTTTTTCTAATGCCTCGTAAACAGCTTTTTTAAAGTTTGATTATGTTAAATTCAGCAAAATTTAAGCAAATGCTGGTTTTCATTAAAAATCAACTTTTATTTTCCAGAAAAGTACGGCGGCTCGGCGATGAACTACTTCTCGCACGTGCTGGCGATGGAAGAGCTGTCCCGGGCTTCTGGCTCGATTGCGCTGTCTTACGGTAATTTTGTTTTACAAAAAATAAAAGAATTTAGGAGCCCATTCCAATCTTTGCGTCAACCAGATCGTTCGTCACGGCAACGAGGCGCAAAAGGACAAGTATTTGCCGAAGGTTCGTGCTTGGTATTAACGATAAAAGAACCTAGAAAATACCGTTATTCAATCGTTTTTAAAGTTAAAAATAATTTATTTAAATT